TTATATATAAATCGGTCCAAAACTTTCACGGAGTTGGTACACTGAAACATTCGCGAAATCGGGAAACCAATCACGGATCATCGGTAATCATACACGGCCGTGGCTGTACTTTCTAAACAAGCTCGGAGTTTTGGGTCCCATATGAATTTCCATACATTGGCAATCATACCACATCTCCTGGAATATCTAATGTATTGAAATACGGAGACAAATCGTATAGAGTGTACCCCAGAATGAGGGGCCTGATTGGGGGGGGGGGGGGGGGGGGGGGTCTCATCACGATTCACGAGTTGATTTTTTTGTCAATCACGATTCACAGAAAATAAATTTCCATGATCACGGATCACGAAAATATAAAAAAAAAAATCTGTAAAAACACGGATCACGATAGCGAAAATGCGCCGATCACGAAGAACGAAAATAACCCATCAGGCCCCTCCAGAATAGTAACAAAGCCATTAATTAACATTTGTCAAGGCACCGACCATTTATCTTTTGGATGCATCATAGAGTAACATTTTCTAGAACTTAGATGAAAAAGAGGCTATTTTTTTCTACAATCGTTATACAGCAGAGGCTCTGGACATACAGAAACAAGATTTTTAAACTATATTTTTTACTTATTTTCCTCATATTAACAAATCCACATTCAACCACTTCCCTTCTAAAACAAATATTTTTTATCTCAATCAAGGATTTGTATAGTCTCACTATACAAATCCTTGTCTCAATATAATAAGAATCATACATTAAAAAATACCCCGTCCACATGGCAGCAGTCATACCAAAATTTATGTTAAACCTTAACAGGACAGTAAGGAATCCATGACAAATCGCCCCACTGGCAAATCGCCCCACTTTTTCACCAACTCGCCCCACTTCCTAAAAAATCGCCCCACTCTTGTTTACCAACTCGCCCCACTTATGAAAAGGGTAAAATCCCATTGAAAATAGGTTGGATAACTTGCCCCACTTATGAAAAGGGTTAAAATACCGCTGAAATAAGGTCTGCCAACTCGCCCCACTCATGACAAATAGATAAACCACGATGAATTTAGTAATGCCAACTTGCCCCACTTATGGAAAAAGATGTTATCCCGTTGTATATGTTCCTGCCACTTATAAATAAAATCAATACCTATGAAAACCTTGGATAAACATCTTTTGTAATTCTTTTCTTTTTGTTTAAATAAAGCAGTAAGAAGTGAGTATCAGTATTTCGGTGTCGTGAATGTCAACTCGCCCCACTTGTGAAAAATAGAAAAATCCTGATGAATTGAGTTATGTCAACTCGCCCCACTTATGAAAAATAGGAAAATCCTAATATTGAGTCATGTCAACAAATGAGTGTAGGCCTTCTAATTCGCCCCACTTATGAAAACGTTAGAAATGCATCTTTTTTTTGTTCTTTTCTTTTGGTTGAAATAAAACAGAAAGAAAGTAGCATCAGCATTTATGTGACGTTTTTTTCCTGGTAAATATATTCAATGTTTTATAAGATAAGTCAAGAATCATGTGTGTTTACATAATTTTATTCTCAGATGATAGGTTTGCACATCTACGTAAGTATGCATAACAATAACATTTTAAACAAACATACATTAAATCAATTATGACAAGAACTGGCATGATAACATAAAAAAGAAGTACTAGATGAAATGGCAGCACTAGAAACAAGAACATGAATACATGAATACATTGTCATTAGAAAGTTCAGTAGCTGTCTGCTTCCACGACTGGACCGTTGACACGACCACACTGGCGTAAGAGTCTGGTTGTAGATATGCTGCCTGCAACTTGATATACTGCTCCCACATGTTGAATAGGATGGCTTGGTCAGTAGTGCGGGATTGCTTGCGCTGGTATTCTGTGTAGATTAGTTTTCATTAAGTGGGGCGAGTTGGCAGACATGAAAATTATATATTCATCTAGATATTACCGTTTTTCATTAAGTGGGGCGAGTTGACAGGAGTAAGATTAACGGGATTTAACCCTTTTCACAAGTGGGGCGATTTTTCAAAAAGTGGGGCGAGTTGGTTAACCAGTTTGAGGCGATTTTTTTAAAGTGGGGCGAGTTGGTGAAAAAGTGGGGCGATTATTTGTGGGGCGATTTGCTAGTGGGGCGATTTGTCCTGCTTCCGACAGTAAGTATAAGTTTTCTGGTATAAGGGAAACAACTCTAACTCGTTCTGGATGAATTTCTCCCCTTTGCCGGCAGCGGCTAATTTATGCCGACGCCATGTTGTGTTGATAATGTTAGCCGATGCTATCAAAACAGTAAATTGAAGGAGCAGAACTTAATTATAGAATAATTGTAAGATTAAGCAGCGTACAGTAAAATCTTATGATTCCATTAGTGTATAGAATCATTGATAATAATTTGATTATGTGTTTAATCAAAGCAGATGTTTACGTGGCCACTTTTATTTCCTGGTTCTGTGGACATATTATTTTTAAGATGATTTATCATTTATATATAAATTTCACAGAGCCCTTTTGGTACCTTAGCACCTTACTGAAATTAACAAACTCGCCGACCTGTTTCTGTTGTATGAAAGATGCTGTATGTATATTGCTAGTCCGAGATTACTCTGACGTCCAACGGCTGTTTTGCCAGACAAGCTGGGGCCGTGGGACGTCAGAGCTCGTCCCATATCAAAAAGTGGATATTTGCCCGTCCAAAATAGATGCGCTGCTTCGTCGCTTCTGGTGCCAACGGACGGCCTTGGAATTATATAAATCGGGTATCAATTTGTTCATTTTTCATTTATCTCTTCATTTATGTAAGTTTCACCTACCTGCCACCCTTTATTTTCTCATATTTAGACAGTTTTCACAGTGACCCATCGATTCAGACATTTTTACTTTATTTTCAAATGTTACGAGAGATTTTGCGACCTCGAGACTCAAATATGCAAATATTTATACTTTTTTCACCTCCTTTATAGGAGATCGATATTTAACATTTAGTAGCCAACCACGATTTTTCAAAAAATCGGTATTTAGCATTTAGTGCCAACCACGATAACATTCGGAAGCTCTCGGATATTTACATTGCTTGCATCGTAAATGAGCGAGGTGTTAGATTATATATTCATATTGACCTAGGGTCATATGCATACATCATTTCCCATAGTCCATTGTGCCTTACTTTTTTCTCGTGATCACATGACAATCTTTCAAAATGAAAGTCAAAATGCCAGAAACGTTGGGTCACTGTGAAAACTGTCTTAATATGAGAAAATAAAGGGTGGCAGGTAGGTGAAACTTACATAAATGAAGAGATAAATGAAAAATGAACAAATTGATACCCGATTTATATAATTCCAAGGCCGTCCGTTGGCACCAGAAGCGACGAAGCAGCGCATCTATTTTGGACGGGCAAATATCCACTTTTTGATATGGGACGAGCTCTGACGTCCCACGGCCCCAGCTTGTCTGGCAAAACAGCCGTTGGACGTCAGAGTAATCTCGGACTAGTATATTGCATGAACAGACCTGTCAGGAAAAACAATAACACATTTGTTTTCTCGATTTTATAATTATTGTATAAACCAGGTTCATTAAAGTCTGAGGGATACCCTCTTTGAAAGGGTCAGAGTGAATAAACAACATATAAAGGACCCTACAGTCAGAAATACTCCCTGCAGTAGACATAATTTTGACCGATGCTGAATGGGATAATTCCATATATTCTGGTACCACGTTTTCCCGAGAACTCCCAAAAATTCAATATTTACCAGAGAACCGATAGATTTAACCCGAAACTTTATTAAATATGGTGTTATACTGCTTTAAGGTTCATCATAACAAATGGACAAATATGGCTGTAATTTACACCTCAAAAATTCCTCTGTGTACAGACTTACCTGTGCAGTTGGGAAAGTTTTAAGGCCTGGCATCCACTAGATATATAAAAGTTAAATGCATTTTGTGTTTCAATAAGATAAAATCTTTTTTTCAACATGCATCAAAGTATATAATTTAAGAACAAGTTGTTTTAACTCAATAAAAGTACAATTTAACTTCAGGAAATCGATAAATTTGTATGCCTTGTATGCAAATTCAATTGGAGGATAATTGTGTTAGTAGTATTCAGGGTCTGTGTGTGGAATGTGTAACAACAGTTCTCCTTATGTGTGTAATTTTTGTTTACTTTCAGAGATATGACAGATTCAAGTTAATTGCTCCAGTCTTTATGTAATGTATAAATCTATTGTTATAATGTGATTATATTTGCCAAATGATGAAATATGGAATAGAAAATACAATCATTTACATAAATCATTATATTGATCGTAATTCATTAGAATTATTTATTTGAATATTTAAATGCAGTGTTTGTCCGTCATGTCTGTTTTGTCCTTGTATTGTCTCTTTTTGTTTTTTATTTGGTTTTGTTTTGCATCAGTATACAAATGCAAATCTTTTTGGTAATTAACCATTTCTTTAGTACATGTGTATGTTCATTTGCAGAATATTGAATTCACTAAAACATTACTGCAAAATATCTTGACATGTCAAGTCAAGTCAGGTCAAAGAAATGTTTATACTGATGCAATCCAACAATACTATCTTTAAAGTTTATCTATAATATTATGATATTGAACATGTCTTATATTGTATTTGATATTGATGAACATGTCTTGTCTGTTGAATTATTATATAAAATTGATATGAAATTATCTTAATATGATATTGATTATGATTTCTTTCCAGATTTACTTATTCTGAATTTGAATTATTAGAAATTTATATACATTATATAATTAATTATGATTTGTTTTCCTCATATAAAGTAATAATGTTGGTTTACCAAGTATTTAAATATTTACAAGTGAAGTGAAAATATTTATGATATTTTTTTGACTGTAACATAATATTTTGTGACAATTCAGATTAATTAAAAGAAATGGACAAATTCTTTCAATTGATTTTTATTTACTATTTGCATGATTTAATTTTACATATAATGATATTCCTCCATAAATTGATTTCAGGTGTTGAATTACATTGAGTATGTACATGGAAGGTGGCATTTCAATGAGGTCCGTGCAATCTTTTCAAGACTTTATCTACTACAAAATGTGGCCATTGAAATCTTCATGGCCAACAGAAGTAAGTTGTTGCATAGAAAATATAACCTTCATTCATTGAATATGTCTTTTATGTCTATTCATCTAATTGAAGGTCACATGGTTTATCTGTCTAACTCCTTTACAGATTTCAAGGTATATTTTTTCTTTTTTTTTGGCATATTATCAGGATTTTGATTTTATAAAATTATACATCAAGCATGTCAAATAACAGGTTATTAGACATAATTTTTTGTGAAAACAGCAAATTTATATGCATCCTTTATGTCTTATAGGCATGGAATATTAGAAGAATAAAATCACTGATTAGGCGGTTTCCAATGCCGCAGCATAGTTAAAAAAATGGTTTAAGGTACAAAATTAATTGATTAGTACAAGGTAATAAATTGGCTCTCCATTTCCTCGGAGGATTATGAATAGGCCATGTTTACCTTTTCTAGGCTAACTGACTTGACTTTTTTACATTCATGCCATATGTGGAGTGCAAGCTTATTTGCAACCTCAAACTGAATATCAAAATTTAAGGGTTTATTTAAAAAAGGAAAAAAGCATTTGTGATTCATTTCAAATGCTTGATAGATTTTCTACAGATACTGTATATTTCAGCTGCTGTATTGTTTTCCTTTCCTGATCATGCAACTCTTAAGAAAGTTATCAATACATTGCCTCGAGTGGGAGTTGGGGTGAAATATGGTCTCCCTCAAGCCAGGTAAGAATAGTTTGTTTTCTAGAAGTATCTTATTGGGTGTAAAAATTGTCTTCACCTCATATCAAATTGAGTTGCATTTGAACTTTAAAAAGATGTATTTTTGACCGTTAGTATTAAAGAGAAAAATTGATGCAATACATTTATGAAACATTTTGTGTATGACTTCTATATACAATAAGAAGATATGGTAAGATTGCCAATGAGACAACTCTCCGCCCAAGATCAATATAAGAACATTAACAATTAAATATCATTTGAAAGGGGATTGACTCATAAGATCAGTACTCAGCACAATAATGTATAACAAAAAGACGAAAGATACAAAGTACCGATCTAAGAGTTCTCCCAGTTATTGAGATTTTGAAAGTATATGGAGCGAAATGAAGATGTAAACAGTCATACATACATTATTCCTTTTATTCTTTGATTCAGTGATGCCAAAAACTATGAAATTTGAACTTATTTTTATTGTCTCACCTGTAACTTTCGTCGCAGTATGCGAGACATAGGGGCGGCGGCGTAAACTATTTGTTTAAAGCTTTTATATTTCAGAAGGTAGAAGACCTAGATGCTTCATACCTTGTATGCAGATACCTTATGTTAAGAAGTTTCCGTCTGTCATATGCCCATTGTCCTTGACCTGATTTTCATGGTTCAGTGACTGCTTGAACAAAAATTACAGTTATTTTGTCATGTGAATTTCTCACTTATTATGAGTAATAGGATAACTATTTTTTGGTATATGGGTTCCTTGCAACGTCTACATGTCCGTCAGATAGGGTTAACCTGACCTCCATCTCAATTCATGGATCAGTGATCAAGGTTAAAGTTACGTGATTAGGTCCGTTTCTCAGATACTACAAGCAGCAGGTCAACTATATGTGGTGTATGGAATGATTGTAAGGGGTACATGTCAGACTGGCAGGTTTCATCTGACCTTGACCTTGATCATTGTTAATTTTTTGTGTTTTGGGTCTGTTTTTCAAGTACTGTAAGTAGTAGGTCAACTATATTTGGTGTATGGAATGATTGTAAGGTGTACATGTCTGTCTAGCTGGTGTCATCTGACCTTGACCTCATTTTCATGGTTCATTGGTCAATGTTAAGTTTTTGTGTTTTGGTCTGTTTTTTAAATACTAATAGCAATGGTTTAACTATTATTGGTGTATGGAATAATTGTAAGGTGTACATGTCTGTGTGACAGTTTTTATCTGACCTTGACCTCATTGTCATAGATCTTTAAAAATGTTAAGTTTATGTGATACTTGTAGTAAAACCTTTATCTTTAAGACTTTCAACATAAAATCAATGGTCAGTAAAACAGGCGAGACATTTCAGCGTGTGCACTCTTGTTACATGTTGTCATGTATAGAAATAGTATTATGTTATCTGTCATTGTGGTTGATAGGGTCTGTTTGCAAGTTTTTCTTGATATTTGCATACACTTTTTTCATTTTTAGTTTTGACACTCCTTGTCATATGAGGTATGATGAAGGCAAAGCAGTCCTTGCATTTCACAACTCACAATAAAATAAGTTGATGCATTTGATGGTTATACAATTTTTCTGCTCAAATCTCTCCAATATATTTCAAACTGCTTTATGTTTCATTTCTCAGGCCTAAAAAAATAGTGTGTTTCCTATTTCACCCCGGAAAAAAATAGGTAGGGTAGGTAGGTAAAACATTTACATTTTTTTTCTATTGATGACAGCAGAAAAAGGTTCCAAATGAAATCGTTTGATATGCCTGCTTCTTTGATATTAGAATAGTACTTAAATCTACAGCTTTTTTAATTTTCTGTTTTAGTTCTGTGTAAGAAATATGAAAATAAACTTTAATGCAAATTTTATGCATTTACAATTATCTTAAAGCAATAATGGCAGTGAAAAATCCAGCATGGTATTATTATGTTTGGCCTCGTTGAACCTAACAATGTAAATGACACACAGGGTATACATGTGGGAACAGATTACTACCCCCTTTTTTTTAGTAGTAAAAACACTGCAAATCGATGCTAAGCAGCGGCTTATTATGATTTTTCGAGGGGTAATACTCTTGCACCCTCTTATTTAATATATAGATGTGTTTTGATGTTTGACCGAATTTAATCTTGAAGAATGGGCGGTTCTGACAATATTAAAATTCCAGGTTTTTAGAAGAGTGAGATTGCGAAATATATGTCTTATTAAATCTATAGCAAAAACTTGTAGATATTAATATGACATGACTTTTTTTCCTTCTCTAGTATAAACTGTTGTGGGACCAGCCAGAGAAAAAATAAAAGAATAAAAGTAGACATGGTGCCGGGGCAGATTCATTTATAAATGAACATGAATCATACACCATTTCAGCCTACTGGGGAAAGCTTTCTATTTCTTGTTACACATAATTTGTCTGCCCCCTTGCTGTCATTAACTCAAACTGTCAAAAGCTCAAAAGAATTAACAGCCATTTATGTTGCGTCCTGATAACAATTTTTTACTTCATTCGTTAGAGCATTTTTACAACAAAAGCTGGATTGATTTTAGCAGTAAATTGAACACAATTTACTCTAAAATTATTTGTCATTTACCGACAGAATGAGATACAGTCTGTCCAACCTGAAACGATTCTGACGTTCGGTCGAAAGAAGCACAGGTACAAACCGAGATTTTGTTAATATATGTATATATACTGAATACATTATTCACTATATATATATATATACAAATGATATATACAAATATTTAAAAAATCTCGTCTTGTACATGTGCAAAGAAGTTGACCAAAATGCGTCATTTTCGTATTTTTCTCAGCTATAGGTCCATCATGGTGTTCTTCAAAAAGATTCATCATATCGTAATTACATTATATTTTGCGTCCTTGCAATCACATTTTGCATATTTGACAGCTAAAACGCTGCACGTTGTTGAAAAGCCATGCTTGTTTATTTAAAATCTTGGTCCTTGAAATGCTTTACTTATCCATATTGGTTATTGCTATCAAACTTTTTGAAGATCTGTAGTTTTCTAAACGAATAATTGGATCCGGACAGACTGAAAAATCCAGGTTTTTAATATTTAAAAAAAATTTTGTCAATCATTTTGTTGTCAATAAAATGTTTAGAGTCGGTGTCAGAAACAGAGGTAGGGTCGGGAAACCGGAAAAACACTATTTATTTATTTTGGCCTCATGTTATAATTTCAAAAGTTTAGACATTAGTGATTGTAAAAATTATCCTATATAAAAACTATTTTATATGATTGTTTTGTAGGAGAATGTCATTAGCCTCAGGCAAACAGCTGTTTAAATTGTCCAGTATGATGCAGAAATGGCAACGAAGAGAAATTTCCAATTTTGACTATTTAATGTACCTTAATACAATAGCTGGTTAGTATAAATTTAATTGATACTTACTGTAGAATGTTTCTAAGTAAAGGTATTGTCATGATAATCAGAGCAGAAAAAGCTGAATGCAAACAATATTTTACCTCCATTCATGGAGTTGGTTCTGCATTCTTCCTGTCTGTTCATTTGACCATCCGTTTGTTGGTTTCATAACTTTCATTAGATATTGCATATCTTTTGTATTATGGAATGATTTGATTTTGTCTGGAAATTTGTTAAGAGATTTTCAGATCTGCAGGGCAGTCACTTACTGTTTGATTAAAACTTTGAATTTTATAATATCCAGTGAACATAGAATTTTTTATGGATGTCTAGTAATAATTTATACAAAATTATTTGCAACTTTTTGTTTTGTTTTTATAATTTATTATCCAGCAAAATTGTTAGATTTTCTAAATGTACAAAATAAGCATTTCTTCTGTGCTGAAAATAAGAAATGAACACTATTCTAGGAAATGTTTGGGGTAATATTGATGGATTATTAAATATATTAAATAGGTGGTGCATAGTATAAGGTTCAAAGGGATTTGAATTGGAATGCCTTCTTTCTAGAGGGAGTTCATTACAAATAAAAAAAGAAATCATGTAAAGAGGATTGAGTATTGTATAATTTTCATGGAACAAGTTGCAATTAAAATACTTTCTACAGGAAAAAAACAAAACTTATTCCCCTCTTATAAATGAATTCTTTCTAGAAAGAAATTCATTATCAATAAAATGAAAAAAGGTGTAAAGAGAATCATCTTTGGAATTCATTGTTTTCGTGGAATTGGTTGCAATCAAAATACCTTAAAATATTCTTCACTCTGTGTACCTTTTACAGAAATGCCTTTTTGTAAAACCATTCATTCCCTCTTGACATGACTGGTAACAGTGGTTATTCTATAATTATAGGTAGAACATATAATGATTTGAACCAGTATCCAGTTTTCCCATGGGTAATAGTCAACTATGAATCTGAGGAACTGGATTTAAGTCAACCAAATAATTTTAGAGATTTATCAAAGGTAAAATCATCAGAAATAGTTTGAACTAAGATGAAGTTAAATGCTTTTATGATTTAAAAGTTGTTAAATACACTTATTATATTTAACAGTCAAGAAATTACATTTCAAAGGAAGACGAATAAAAAGAGTAAGCATCATGTAAAAAGATACTTTATGTAACTTTAAACATGTTTAAAAAGACGTAATAAACTCACCTAACAAAAGTTCATGCTTTTGACTCTGAATGACATTTTTTATAATATTTAGAGAATTATTTTATTTTTTGTGATACTAAAAAACACAATAGGAAGCCAGTAAACACTTCAAATATAAACAGTAAAAGACTCTTACACACAATATCATGATCATAGCAGCATTGTTCAAAAATAGAATTTTGTTAAAGAGTTTTCTTTATAGAAGCTTTAATCGTAATTTTTGTGAAATAAATCCAATGTTTTCACATATTTATTGACAGGTAATGTTTATTAAATTTTTTTACTGGAACATATAACGTGGAAATAGTTGCTTAGAATTATTTGAAATTTATCACAAAATGGTATTTTGTCCTCTTGATGTGCATTAATTACTGTTTAATTTTGATATAGAATTTATTGTAAAAATTTTCATTCAAATAATTAATGCATAATTTATTGATAGCCTATTGGAGCTTTAAACCCAACCAGAAAAGCTTTCTTTGATGAGCGGTACGAGACTTGGGAGCATGATCAGATACCTCCATTCCACTATGGAACTCATTACTCTACGGCAGCTTTTACACTTAATTGGTTAATACGAGTTGTAAGTTAATCTGTTATCTTGACATGATAAGAGCTGATCTAAAACTGCAGCAAATGAGAGAAAAAAATATATAGAATAAAAATGTTGACTTTAGCAGTAACATTGCTGCAAATTCTATCTGTCTTAAATGAAGAAACACATTATACGGTTATATAACCTAGACAAGTATAAAAGGTTTTACAAAAACGTCCACCTTTTTCTTTGTCCCCATTCATTACATGGTCTAGATCAATCCTTTTCTCATTAGGGCTATTCAATTACAATGAATTTAGGAGGGTAGAAAGGACTTTCAAAACCCCCTACAACCAACATACTTTCAAATTTTGCTAACATCAAATGAATAAACAACCCACAACTCATGCCCAAGAATAAAACTTCCCTACCTATCCTGCCACATTTAGTTGACTGGAATAAACTTTATTTGAAATGTTTTTAGCGCATTGCAAGATAGAAATCTGTATATTTAAGTGCAACATCTTGAACACATACAGTGTTATATTTTCATAAAAATGTAAACATTGGAATAAAATGAGAGAAAGTCTAATCTGATATAATTTGATTTTAAAATTGTTTATTATAGGAGCCTTTCACTACAATGTTTTTAAATCTACAAGGAGGGAAATTTGACCATGCTGATAGAACTTTTTCTTCAGTAACCCAGGCATGGAAGAGTTGTCAGAGAGATACATCAGATGTCAAAGTAAGTATAGAAAAAAAGAACATCATAAAACCATAATTTTTGCTGAACATTAGTGTTGTTTCAGAGTGACTTGAGTATTTATATCCAGCTGATGATATTGGAGGTAGTTTGACTAATTGAGAGCCATCAACATATTAAGAGAGTTGGTTATTTTTTCAGGATGAAAATTAAGTTTTTTTCAAATGTTTGCTTATACTTTGAACTGAACTATGTATGCATAAATTTTCAAAACCCAAAGCAATTTTGCAAAACCTAGGTAGTTGAACCTTTGGTTAAATGGGTAGAGAATTACAGAACTTTATTGTGAACCTTATGCACAAATAGATCTCATTATTATTATCTCTCATTCCAAGATTTTGATTCTTATTGATATAATGAAAGTAAATCTAGAAATTTTTGCTATGAAATTAATCATAGATTAACTAATTCAAAAATTTTAATTTGGAAAAAAAACAAGTGGCTGAACAACACATTATTTCAGGAATGTACATTGTGCATTAGTTAATTATCAGTGTTGTTTGCCCACAAGTCTTTTTATTAATTGAGAAATCATGGTATTTCATTGCAACCAATGTAGTAATACTATGTAATGTTTGGTACACTAAAATTTACCTTGTATCATTTGACATCTTTTATTTTTTTCCATTTTACAGGAACTGATACCAGAGTTCTACTGTTTACCAGAGATGTTTGTTAACCATAATGGTTTTACATTTGGTAAACAAGATGATGGTTCAGAAGTTAAAGATATAATATTACCTCCATGGGCCAAAAATCCTGAAGACTTTGTTAGAATTAACAGAATGGTAAATTTCTTGTATATTTTAATCCATTCTTAATGCTGTAAATTCAGAAATTTTTGCATGAATTTATTTATAAACAATTGACAAAAATATGAGTTAAATTTATATTGCAATTTTAGGAAATGCTGCATACAAATTATTCTATTAAAATTAAGAATCTGAGTTTTTATTTTCCAAAGCCTATTCTGTCGCAATAATAAAAACTTCACAAAAATTTCTGAATTTTCGGGACACAATTAAACAATATGCATTGTAATCTTCTGATATATGACCTTGTAATATATGAAGAAAGTTAAGTACTGAATTTTTTATTACACTTCTTCTTCTTTTGGTCAACAAGGCTTCAAAATTGAAGAATACATGTTGTTGCACATGTGAGATTGACGAAAATTTATACAAATTGATAATAATTTAATAACAATTTTAGTGTTTGTATACATACAGATTGTGATTAAAAATGATATCTTGCTTCTCTCCAATAGTATGCCCCTTTACCATGACCAACCAATTAGTAAGGACAAAAATCTTGAGCCAAATCTCATATAATGTAAACTGACTTCCCTAAATTACTCAAATGTGACAGCCTACACAAAAAAGTTAAATTTACTCCTGAAGAATAACCATCTGATTTATTCCTGGTTCTGAACTTTCTTTTTAAATGGACTGTTTTGTCTCGGGGTAAAGAAAAAGATGTTAAACAATTTATTTTCAAGTAAACTACCTTGATAATGTAAAAAACATCATGAGAAACTACCAAGCCTGTGACACTTGTGAAAACTCATTTATCTTATCCCTATTTTGACATATAGTTATCAGATGCCTTCCAAACACCTTAAACCATTTATTCTATTATTTCCTTGTATTTTAAATATTTTGTTCACAGAAACAATTCTCTATTTCATGATTTTAGCAGTCTACTTTTCTGTTAGCTTTAAAGTCTTCATTAAAGACTTCAATGACAATGCAAACCCTTCCTTCTACCTTTTGAAATCAGCTACCTAAAAATGTTCAGATATTGAATGATATGAATAAATCCAGCAAGAGAAAGAGACCATTCTTTTTATAATACCAGTTTTGTGTTGCAGATAGGATGGTTTTATTAGATAGGGACTACTAACTTTTATTTCGTGAATGTTTTCTCTTTGCTGCAGTAAAATGATCCTAACTAATTCCAATTTCCAATTTTATTTTAGGCCTTAGAATCCGAGTTTGTCTCATGTCAGTTACATCACTGGATAGATTTAATATTTGGATACAAACAGAGAGGTAAGAACCATACTTTTTGTTTTGACTGTTTAACAAAAGGAGTATGTCCAGTAAGACTCCCTTTTGGCCCCAAAATATAGCATTTTTACAAATTTGTTAAAATGTAAACTTTTATTTATTTATTGGAAAGTAGAATACTTTTGCTACATAAATATTGGCTGTTTTTGACAAGACATCGGGTACTAGCATCATTGATTCCTGCAAAATTACTGAAATCTTCAGAACTTTTACATTTGTGCTATTTTTATACGTTTTTTGTCTAAAATGGAAGTGGCCGCACTTGTGTTCAGTATTAATATTTAAATATATATTGTACTTGATGATATTACATAACATATATAAAGGTTGAGACTGAACACGAATGCGGCCACTTTCATTTTAGACAAAAACCATCTGAAAAGTGACGTTTTGTGAAATATTTGATAGATTTTTGATATTTAAGCTTGAATTTGAGTGTCTTTAATGACCACATCAGTTCAAATATGTTACAAAAAACTAATTGAATCTACTGAAGTAGACACTTATGTGTTTAAAAAGTGTCAAAAATCATTAATAGATGTACTTCAAATTTTAGGCCAAAATTAACCCTTACCGATCCTTCTCCTTTGTATTGTATACTTTCCACTTGGTGGAGTAGGGGATATATAATGATTGTTGTGTTCTGTTTATGCCTTTATTTGATTGTTTTTCTAAAGTTTAATAAAAGTTTGATAAAATGTCTTCATTTAGGCTGAAATTTAGCAAATATTTTGTTGTTGACAAATTGACATACAGATAAATAAAGAAAAAAACTAGTAGCTTTACTGGTAATGAATGATATGCAATAATAGCTTAAATATTTTTATGCCCCACCTACGATAGTAGTAGGGGCATTATGTTTTCTGGTCTGTGCGTCTGTCCGTCCTTTCGTCCATCCATCTGTCCTGCTTCAGGTTAAAGTTTTTGTACAAGGTAGTTTTTGATGAAGTTGAAGTCCAATCAACTTGAAACTTAGTACACATGTTCCTTATGTCTTTCTTATTTTAATGCCAAATTAGAGTTTTGACCCCAATTTCACGGTCCACTGAACATAGAAAATGATAGTGCGAGTGGGGCATCCGTGTACAATGGACACATTCTTGTTTTAGAAATGATCCCTGTCAGCTTTGAATTTTTTCCATTTTGCGCTTATATTTTCAAGTTCAAATTGAAATCTATCTTGGTTGTAAATTTTCTTGTTATAAGTATTTTCTAAGAATTGACATATTTAAACAGATTTTTTTTATATTTACAAAACTTGATATTTTGCCAGGTCCAGAAGCAGTCCGAGCAACCAATGTGTTTTACTATCTTACTTATGAAGGAAGTGTCAACTTAGAAACAATGACAGATTTAGTCATGAAAGAGGTATATATAACATGGTATTTTTATTGTAAGTTATATTTGTGAAGTGTAGGAAAGATGTATGTGTACAGTAGAAAGGCTTGTATAGTTCGCACTGGTACATAGTCCGCACCCCCTTCTCCCCACGAAATTTTAGGTAAAAAAACTTTTTGTAACTGTTAGAAAAGGTCTAATGAAACTCCGGTAATTTCAAATCCTGTGCGGTCGTTTGCGGTATTTTCTTGGAAAAACCTGTTTTCCATCATCAAACTGAAACTGCTTGTAAATGATTCTAAAACGCTTCACGATTGTTAAAATAAGTTTAATTCACTTAAAAAACAATTTAGAAACTTGTGTATGTTTAAACAGGAAGTTTAAAAAGCATGTGTAAAAGAAGAAATTAACCGGTGAGAGTCGAAATCTGTACATAACAGATATCACTATAATACGACTTTGAAAGTAAAACAGTTCCATCCTTTTGTAAAACCGTCTTTAATATATCTATCACATTAATGTTTGAAGGGTCTTAAGCTAATACAAACCATATTAGTCAGTATGAAACACCAAAACGGAACGAACAATAACCGATTACGTTTTGTAGTTTACAAATTCTAAGCTGGTTTACGGTTGTCTTTTTCACTATGTTTGTATCGTTTCAATCAAGCAGATACCAGTTTATTTCAACCAATGCATTGAAAAGAAACGAGAAATTTGTAATGAAAGGTTTAGTTTTTATATTTATCAGTATTAATTTGATATTGAATAGAAATAACTTATTAATATGGATGAGTTAAAATTATTAGTTTGAAAAATGATAAGAGCGCCCTCTACAATATAAATACCAAAGATGGCGGAACGTAAACAAACCACCTCACCCGCGAAATTGAAATTTTTCTCTTATTTCTTGCTTATTGTACTCTATAGTCCGCACCCCCGTCTGGAAGGTCCAATTTTGGAGAATAAAACCGCAGACTATACAAGCCTTTCTACGGTATACAGTATTGTGCAGAATAAGTAAAACTAAAATAATGTGAAACAATATTTATTGCTCCCAAAGGGATAGTAGAAGTTTTGATTTAGGTCTACATTGTGGTATCATGAAAAAAGCGTCAATAACATGATGGAAAATTTCTTTATGGTTTTTAGGTTTTTTTCTGGATTTTTCCTAAAATATAAAGAAGCATTTCATTTCCCGCACATGTGTATCTGATTACACCAAAAAGAGAATATGATTTCCCACAAATTTCTATATCTGATTACCAAAATGTTTATGATTTATAGTAAAACAAATATGGACCAATAACCTTTTGGAGCTCAGGTAGCACCTTTCTTATATTAACGCAGAAACACAATAGTATCCTATGTTTTCACAAATGCACACTAGATATGTGCAATATAGAATGTACTGAAGAGAAGTTAGAGCATTATTTACATTTTGTTATTATTTCTAAGTATCCTCAATTATTCAAGTGTTTGTAGATACAGAAAACAACACAATATTCACTATTTTCACTGATTCTTCTTCCAGTATATATAACATGTATGTTTTATTTATTGTAGGCAATAGAAAACCAAATCCGAAACTTTGGACAGACACCTTTACAACTGTTAACAGAACCACACCCACCAAGAAGTTCAGTCATGCATTTGGTAAATATGACCACTATCTATCTATACCTGAATTATGATATCCATTTATGTTTTCCACACAAACAAGCATTGAATACATGTATTTGTACATCTTTGTCTCTGAGAAAGATTGAAGATAATGAAGCATAGACAAAGGTCTTATATTCTAATTTAAACTTGCAAAATTTATTAAAGAATTGAATGCTTTTTAAAATTTTATTGGGGTGTAAAAGAGTTGACCAAAATAAAAATAAGGAAATGTGGTATGATTGCCAATGAGACAACTATTCACCAAAGTTCAAATAAAGTGGATGTAAGCAATTATAGGCAACCATACGGCCTTCAACAAATATTCCGCTATAAAAGGCCCAGACATCAAAAATATGAAATATTTTCATAATTGAGAAAACTAACGGCCTTATTTATAACAAAACAATTTACAAAAAAATATGACAGAATTGAACCGACAACAACCACTGAACTGCAGGCTCCTGACTTGGGACAGGCTCATAGAGAATGTGGCAGGGTAAAACATGTTTGTGAGCGCTCAACCCTCCCCTAACCTGGGACAGTGGTGGTACAGCACAATATAAAAACAAACTATAAAAATCAGTTGAAAAGGGCTTAACTCATCAGATCGCAACTAAGCAGAAAAACATCTAACAAAAACAAAGACCGGATGTGGCAGGGTATTTACACATCCCTAACAACACAAAGTACAGATCTGAGAGTACCTGCAGTTACTGACAGATATTCTATAAAACTATAAAAGAAAAGCATTCAATTGGCATATTTACATTTGTAAGCTACAACCATGAATTTAAGAGTTATATCAAGCTTTTCGTTATGTTTTTCAATTCGTTATTTTAACACTGTCACGGATAGCACATACAGTCATAGCTGTTGTTTTTAATAAGGAAATAAAATATGGCATTGGATTGTAGTCAGCCAATCAAAGTTATGGATTCTAATGAAACATGCATATGTAATGTACAAATGTAATTATTGACTTATAGAGAAAAAAATTATTAAAATATGTTCAGTTTTGTGTTATTTTACAGTGTATTTTAAAAATACATAAGTCTTATACTCAATAATACTAGTATGTTTTGTCTCTCCCAAAAAACTCAAATAATTTAAAGTTAACTACAGATGTGACTTTTTTTCAGTTTTGAATATATCCTCATCAGAACAATAGGGTAAAACTATTGTAGATAAAGGATATTCGTGTAAAAAAATCAAATTTTTGTTTGTATGTTCATGTTCATTTTAGACATTTAACAGTAAAATCTGTTGTTACCATAACCCAACAATTTATATAATATATTAATTGTAGACACCTATGATGTTTTCTACTGTACAAGATGATGTATGTATGATAATGAAGTTCCTGTCTAACTCACCTGTCTGTCATGTGGCAGCCAATACACATCCTGCTGTACCTGTGGCTGCAGTAACTACCATATCATGTAATCATAACTTTGCCATCAATAAATGGAATAATAATTATCAGCGTAAGTTATACTTTTTTTTAAGCTAATTTAGACTCACTCTATCGACTTGTGTTGACTTTTTTTTAACATTTTATGCTTCTGACTTTTATTTTATTGACTTTATTGTCACTGGCATGTTTTTTTCTGCTACTAATATAACAATCTTGAACTTTATCATATAATATATATATAAGATAAAAGAATATTTCAATTCAATTCTTTTATTTGCAATCTTTGGCTTGCAGGTTGACTGATGATTTATTGAAAAACTGTTTAATTATTTTATTTAAAATAATTCTAAACATTATAAGCAATATAAAGAGAGTATGTCATATACAGGAACCATATTTGTTTGTTTAAAATTGCTTAAGCCAAGATATAAATATTATCATTAGTATTATATTTCCAGAACAAGGAACTCCATCAAATTTCTCATCAACTGAGAAACAAGATACTCAGGTTAAACTGCCCATGGAAATGGATCAATTACTAGGTAAAATACTTATAAGAAATGCTAAAATACATCAGATTATAATGTTTGGTTTTTGTAGACATTGTGTGTTTATGTGAAAAAAAACCATACACTTTCTTTGTAAGATTTTCTTTTAATAGTTATCTCCTGGTGATTTTATGAAAAATGTCATTGTAATACAATATATATGTCTATTTATTTTGACTATTCTCCATTTTGCATGGTCTGCGCATGAATTTCATGAATTTGATCTGCCATCTGGTTCAGTTAATAATTGCAACTTGCAGAAAATATGTTTAGATATGACATCTTTTCTGAAACATTACATTTGAGGCACATTTTTCTCTGATATGTTACTGTGCTACAATACAAATACGGTGATTCAGTTGAAAATCAATTATACTGGTGTTGATAGAATCATCATAAAACAGGGTGTTTATAATGATTCTGAATATATTAAACCCTGTCATGAAATATGTAGAGAATATACAGAGAGATAATTGCATAGTGTGTATCCCAATATGGTTGGCACACACTGTGAAAGGTTACCACCAGAAAGGATTTTTAACTGAATCACACCGTTTGTCATACTGTGGTAAAGTGGTCAAACACCTCTCTTGATCACATAATCACATGTAAATTTTCATTTAAGGAATATATTTAACCTGGCTTTATAATGCAAGAATGCCATCTTGAATGTTCTTTGCCTCTGTACCGGTTTATTTTAATTACTCCTGCATTGAACTGTCAGACTGCTGCGAGGTCTATCGAAAGTCTTAACATTTTTGCTTTTTCGCTTTGAATCTTTAAAAATATGATTATGATGAAGGAATGTTTTAATATTGACTGGGTACCTCTAAGTAATTTTCTGATTACACTAAGGTACTAAGGTAAGAATGAATATTTTCATCCCTGAAATTATATTAATTAGTAGCCTGGTATTTTTCAGGATAAAAATTAGTTTGAAAGTAGACATAGACTGTAAGATTAAGTATTCAAAGCAGATGATGAATACAATAATGTACGATCTAAGCCTGAGATAAGCATTGATGTTATTATTGCATACCTGATGCTTTGATATAAGAGTTGCTGTGGTGAAATTATATCCTAAAGTCTTAGTTTAAGTCAAACACTTATAAAGGAACTACAATTAATATAATAGTATGCTAACCAATAATTAGATATTCAAATTGAACTTCACATGTTTAATGAGATAGACATATAAAGGTCATCATAGATTTATAGTATCAAATAATAAGAGTACACAACAGAGGCTTTAGGATAAAGCTATAATTCCTGTATATTTTATAATTGACAGATTTATGTGAAATTAAGAATAAAAATGTGTCTACATTCTTTTAAAAATTTAATAATTAATGTCTTCATATAATTTTAGTCATGAATACAGCCTTACATAAAAGAACCTTGGGTTATAATTTTGCTTTATTGTGTTTTAGTCATCAATATAGCCTTACACAAAAGAAGCTTACGTGATAATTTTTAGTCCCCTACCGACGAAGTCGAAGGGGACTGTAGGTTTGCACTCTGTCTGTCCGTCTGTCCCTCTGTTTGTCTGTCTGTCTGTCTGTCAATCCGTCAGTCCGGCAAATCAGTTTTCCACTTTTTTTCTTCATGCTTGAAGATACTGATTTGATATTTGGTGTATTGTTTAATAATGACAAGTTATAGATCAAGTTCGAATTTTGTTCCAGTCTGATGATTTTGTGCAGAGTTATGGTCCTTGGACTTAGAAAATCTACTCAAAACAATCAGTTTTCCACACTTTTTTTCGTCATGTTTGAAGATAATTGATTTGATAATTGGTATATAGTTTTATCATGACAAGTTACAGATCAAATTCGAATTTTGTTCCGGTCTTATGATTTTGTGCAGAGTTATGGTCCTTGGATTTAGAAAATTCACTCAAATAATCAGTTTTCCGCATTTTTTTTGGTCATGCTTGAAGATATTGATTTGATAATTGGTATATAGTTTATACCATGACAAGTTATAGATCAAGATAGCATTTTGTTCCAGTACAATGAATTTATAACCGGTAGGGGATTATATATTGCCATGCAATACTCTCAGAATGCTTGTGTTTATTATGTTTTTCATGTTTTTAGTCATGAATACAGCCTTACATAAAAGAACCTTTGGTTATAATTTTGCTTTATTGTGTTTTAGTCATGAATACAGCCTTACATAAAAGAAGCTTGGGTGATAATTTTGATGAGAGGATTAAAGCCAAACATACCAGCTTCATTACAACAGCAGATAACAGATTTTTGTTTGCATGTGGATTCTGGGATAAAAGTTTCCGCCTTTTCTCTACAGAAACAGGTAAATCTAATATTTGTGAATAATTAAATAGACATGATAGCAAGATCAGTTATTTCTCAGACAAGTTGGTATATATATTGTTTTGTAAACAGTTTCTGAACCGTCTGAAATAAGCTTAAACAGTTCTTATTTTTCCTGAATTGAAGTGTCTTAACAGAACTTAATTAACTGCAGTGGATTTCTATGAAAGTTGAGTAAAAGACTGAACATGACTTACTAATATATTGATTTTAAGATCAGTTTGAGTCTAAATTTGCCATATTAGTACATAATTTATTCACTTGTAAATTTGCTGGGGGTCTCTCTCGAAAAATTTAATTGTCATGTCCTGAATAGTTCATGCTGAGGGGCATTGTAATGTTTGTTGTTGTAATTCCAATACAACAATTTTTAAATGTTCAAAGATATTACAATGATTAACTAGTTTCATAACAATGAAGCTAATTTTTGAATGTCATTTGAAATGTACTTAATTGTTTTGTTTGACAGAATTGTCATTAAAAATATGATACATTGTATAAAGTGATATTCAATACTTTCATGAACACTTTGAGAATACTAGTCTATTTAATGACATCCCTTATATAAATAAAATGATAAAATATTCTAAATGTGTATATATTTGCAGCCAAGATTTTACAAGTTGTACATGGTCATTTTGATGTGGTGACATGTGTTGCTAGATCTGAATGCAACTTAAACCAGGATTGTTATGTGATTACTGGTTCTAAAGATTGTACTGTTATGGTGTGGATGTTTACCTCAAGGAACCAGGCCATTATTGGAGATAATGGAAGTAAGTTTTACTTGTTTCAAATCCAAAGGCCTTTCATAAATTACTCTACAGTATGGTTTTGCTCAATGTTGAAGGCCTTACAGTGACCAATGATTGTTTACATCCTTGTCCTTTAATCTATGATGGATAGTTGTTTTATTGGCAAGAATACTGCATTCTCTTACTTTTAGGCAATATATTGGAAGTGTAGAGTTAGTTTATATTTTGAATGGGATACAATATAGTTACTTAGATGCTGTTTGTTGATAAATTCCTGCGCATCTCTAGACCACCCTTACATAAAAAAAAAGAATAACAAATTCACTTAAAATTTACTTTTGACTATATTTGTGTTATGTAACTGCCAAGGAAGCAACAATAAAAAAAAATGTAGAGTCAACATGGTCAACATACTGTCTTCAGTGGCAGGGACTTGGGTGGACTCCAAAAAGTTTTGATCCAAAAAATTACTAGTATCAAATTTTGTTGCTTGTTTTTTAAGGGCAAGGGCAGATAATAATTTATCCAAATTTAATGTGTTGTTTTCACAACGTTGCTAATGATGTGTCATCTAAAATTCATGGAAACTTATCAAACACTATCAAATCGGATGTAATGGAAAACAAAGATAATGTATATTTAAACACTCATAATGTACTGTGGAAGAATAAAATACGTGGCAATTGAAAACGGGTTTACTTTTCTATTATCAATAAATTTGTATTTGACAGTAATTCAGAAACTGTTTTGAAGTACAGCTGGAATAACTGCACTACGATTTTGCATTTAGAATCCACTGTGATGTAATTTTGCATAAAAAAATCAGAAATGGGATCCCCATCATTGTTCACCTTAAAAATGAGAACATGGACCCCTATTCTTTTTTTTTGCAATCTACTATATTCTGGTTAAAAATTGAAATTGCAAGAAAATATCAATGGTAGATTTTTTTCTGTGTGCCTTTGTATTGTCAAGAAAATTGTGCAGGGCTTTTTATTACCAATAACTGTATAATTTCACAAAAATTTAAACTAATTCAGCCTTCATTTCTGGGACTAAATTAAAGGCCTTTAAATTAAGGAACACTTTCTTTTTACCCCATACCATGTTGAGTGAAAAGTTATGTGTCAATTGACAAACAAAATAGAAAAATAAAAAAATAAAACACAATAAAATAGCAAGGGATATAGACTGAAGAGAATAAGATTAAATCAGCTTGATCTGATGAAGACAGTTATTAAGTGATGCTATTTTCGTTTTTAAGTTTTCTTTATTTTATACTTTTAAGTGTTACCATTTAAACTTGATGACTTGACTACTTCTGTATTCATTTTACACTGAACCAAAAAAACAATCCATTTAGCCAAATATATTGAAGTTAATTATATTTCTGTAGAAGCAATACTTCGTACCTTTTATATGGGTGGTCTACATATGTCAAATAAAAAAATGTATAAAATTTTCTTTGGTTTTGACATACCTAAAACAATGGAAAGCAATGTTAAAAGAATGCTATCATGTTTATATTATACTGTTTTTAAGGTATGGAGCATCCAACCCCTAAAGCTACATTGACTGGTCATGAAACAGAAGTGACCTGTGTTGCCGTCCTTGCTGAATTAGGTCTAGTCTTCAGTGGATCTTATAGTAAGTAAAATACACTTTATACTAATGGCTTATCTTGATATTGTTGTAAAATAAAAGGAAACATTTTTTGCTTAAGTTGATAAAAAAACATTTATGACTTGAAGAAAGTACAAGTTCAACTCTTGTTTGTTTTTTGTACAGAAATTATGAAAAAAAACCTTTGAGGAAATTTAGGACTCACAAAAGTTTCTCTAAATTTTATTGTAAAAAGACACAGTATTTGAGCACATTCAGCAGATGTGAATTGCTTTGCTAAATGAAACTTATTATATTAACAGAGGGTCCATGTTTGGTTCACACATTGAATGGTGACCTATTGAGGTCATTAGAAGCACCTGATGGCTGTTGTACACCTGAGATAATCAGTGTATCACGAGAGGCTTTTGTCCTAGTCAAGTTTGACCAGGGACAGATTTGTAACTACAGCATCAATGGTAGACTTCTACAGAGAGTTAGCCACAAAGATAATATACAGGTAGGGTCAAACTTCTAATAATGAATCAGGTTAAATATTGAAAAAAAATTTAAGGATAGAAAAATGAAATTGATAACACTTGTGAGGAGTCAAGAGTAGCTGATATGGACATTAAGGAAAAAAGAGGCGGAAGATCCAGGACAACTAAATTCATAAGTTGAAGAGAATCTGACAAAACTTTACAAAAAACAAAAAACTGTGAAATGATAAAAAAGAAGATGATTGCTAATAAAATTATAGCACTTAGCTAATACATTGAAACCTATGTAAACCAAAAGCTTTCAAAACTGAGGATTTAGTTCAGATTACACAGATATTTGGTGTACAACGATAAATTGAGGAAGAAAAATATATTTTATACTCTGATTAATCTTATGTTAACATGCTTCACTTACCAAAATTCAGACATGCAGAAAAAATGTGCTGTTGGAGATTTGATATTAAAACTGCGTTTATTGATATTGTAAACAATTTTACATTTAAAAGCTGATTTTTACTGTGCCCTCTGATCTAGTGCACACAATAACAATCATACTAACATTTCATCTGTTAGCAGATAAGAAAGCCAAGTAGTGAAGTGACTCGATGAGTAATTACCCAATACAATCCACATGGGAGCAGGACAAAAGCCCTTCATTTATAATAATGATGTTTAAAATTTTCTGGAAGTCAATATTTTAAGTTCTAAAGTTATAAACATTTATTTGGGGGCTTGTCTGGGAGGCTTTTGTATGACATGATCATGGTAAATGATTCACTCTACTTCATAATGTTTTCTATTTTTCTATAGGAAAGTGCTAGAGAATATCTGATTTCATGTTGAATGGGATAACACTGTTCCTGAAAAATTTTATATTTTTGTTTTATAAACTGTTGATCAAATTGAATATTGCCTGTTATAATTTGTAGAGTTTTTTATAATTTTTATTGATGAGATATATACTATTCCTTTAATACTTAAATGCACAACAGCATTTAAAAGATTTTTGTCAGTGTTTACATAAAATGAACTAAGTTTTAAAATATTTGAATTTGCAGACAATAATTCTTAGTAGAGATGGACAGTATATTATGTTAGGAGGTAACAGTGGAGTGGTAGAAGTCTGGAGGTCACATGACCTAAATCTTTTGTATACATATCCACCATGTGATAGCAGCATTCTGTCATTAGCTCTTACCCATGATCATAAGTAAGTATACAAATTGCATGATAGCTGTTATTTTGGAAAATGTGTTGATAAGGTTCTTTTGGGGAAATTTTGATAAAACTGGTAGATTTTATTAATTATATACCTTTTGTACAGAAAAATTTAAAGTCAGTAGCCCATATTAAATGGCAGACCTAAAAACCTTGAAATTTATGCATGCAGACTGGAGCATTTGATGTTAACTCTGATATAACTCTTACCTATGTTTACATATATATATATATATATATATATCACTAAGTTATTTCCCTTTATTTTTATATAAAAATTAAAATTAAAGGACTTTTGAACAGTCAGCTTTTTTTTCAACCTCCATTGTATGTTTTATTATCCAGAAATACTTATTCATGCTTTTTTATGCCCCTACCATAGCGGAGGGGGCATTAAGTTTTACCCTTGTCTGTCTGTAGGTCAGTCTGTACGTACGTCCCAAAGTTGGTTTCCATTCTCTAACTTTAGTTTGCCGCAACCAAATGTTATGAAACTTATACACAATGCTTATTACCACAAAACACAGATCAAGTTTGAATTTTGGTGGCGTCACTTTAATCGTTTTAGAGTTATGCCCCTTTACATGGAAAAATTGCTGAATTTTTCGTTTCCGTTCTCTAACTTTAGTTTGCCTCAACCAAATGCTATGAAACTTATACACAATACTTATTACTACAAAACTCAGATCAAGTTCAAATTTGGGTAGCGTCACTTTTACTGTTCTTCAGTTATAAACCTTTATAACTTTATATGATATGCAAGAGGGGGCATCATCTGTGTCCCATGGACAAATTCCACATTTATCTTAAATGTGAGACATAAAATGTTTTACCCTTTCCAAGATTCATAACTATACTCCAAAAATTCTGACTTCAACAGGAGTATAAGTGACACTTGCGTGTGTTTACTAAGATACTTTCATTATACATATGCTGAAAATCTTCCTTCAACAGATGCATATTTGTCTGGGAAAGATGCTCATTTTTTTTTCAGGCAAATTGCATTTTTATCCTTTTCTGCAAGTTTCAAAATGCCAAAGCATTTGGCAAGGATTGCCACCATTATAGAGTGCTAGCCCTGAGTGAAGGAGGTCACTGGTTCAAACCTTGGCCGGGTCAAAATAAAGATTAGAAAATAGGTATTTACTGCATCTCAACTATGCTCACAGCATTTAGGAGAAAGAGCAAAGGCTGGTTGGCTGGAGTCAGTATAATGTGTGCCGATTGAGTAACATTTCTTCCTGCAGACTGTTACCCTGTGAACTAGTTCTTCAAAACCCCACTCATCGTATCATACCAGTACCAAGCAGGGTTTATATTCATATCACGTTAATGTGTTCTCATCCTGAATATACATTTACTTTGCCCTTGGACATTAAACAGTCATTCATCCTAATTATTCATTTCTTTCTTATAGATTCTTATTGGCAGGCCTTGGAACTGGTTGTTTATTGGTGTTTAACATTGACTTTAACAAATGGCATCATGAATATCAGGAGAGATATTAACAAGTGGACCATTTCATCATTGATTACATGCACTGCATCAAATAAGGATATTTGAGGCAGCATACCTGTTTTAGTTACCTGTATAAGTACTAAGAAGATGCTTGTTTTATTGATAATAGCAGCGGTATAGCAAGGGTGTCATGAAGCATAATTAGTTGGTCTTCAGCTATTGATTCTTTTCAGGCATGCATCATAATATAAATTTATTTAATATTTATATCTACTAAATTGCTTACTATAGTTTCTTATTTTAAGGGACTTAATCTAAACTGTAGTTTGAGTCGAGGTAGGATATATTGTTCTCACATATATAGTAAAAATATATTTGGAAACTATTATTATTTGCTCTAAGAATGAAAGAAATTGGGGAGTTGATGTAAAGAAATATATTAAATTGTAAATATTTATTTATTTCTCAGAAGGTTGTGTATGTAGTGTGAGCTGCTTGTTCTTCAAGTAGTACCTGTACTAATTTAGTAGCTTTTTCTAGTTTTGTACACATTTTTGTAAAATTATGATAAAAAGATTGAAAAAATTATGATAATTAAAACAATTGATTTCAAACAGTACTAGATTATGATTGGTTATGTATGGTAGAACTTAAAGTAGTATATATGTAAAAAAATTCCTTTTCAATTTTTTTCTGCAATCAGTTGCAGAATACAAAACTATTAAAAAATAAAAAAGTGATTTGTTTTTTCTTTGAAAAAATTTAATATCTCAGTACATGTAGTTTTTAAGGAGATGTGATATCATGTTAAAACATTCCACATTATAAATTTTTGTGCTGTTTTTTTTGTGCAATCTATCCAATGCTGTATTTTGATAAAGTGCTTGGGTAATAGTTATATATATGTGTGTTTGATTTCATATTGAGGAAATGTATATACATCTGTTTAATAGCTTATATTGCCAAATACATTCCAGAACAATAAAATAGTATTGAAATTTATTTTGATATAGATCATTCGTTTTGTGGTTATACATTTTACGAGTGACAAGTGACAAATTTCATGGTTTAAAAGCTTCTTGTGGCAGATCAGAATCTTGAGATAAAAGAACGAAAACTATTAAAACCTTTTCAATGTATTTTATTTCTTATATGTCAGAAAAGTCAGACAAAGGACTTTCACATCGCCCCTGAACCTCATGTCAGTAGATAAAAACAAATATGAAGGTTTTGTTAGTGTTAACAATATTTGCAATTAACAGTTAGATATTTGCCCAGCCTAATTTATATATAATTGCAGATTAACTCTTGACAGCAACTGTCATGTAAGAAAAAATACGTAGAAGGATTTTTCAACCAAATATTGGCAACAGTTAGATGTGGGTGTTTCTACACAGGATGTTACTGTTTATCTTTTACCAAACATCAGACCATTGTTGATTGTTAGATTATTTAAAGTTTGATAAATATGTATGTGAACATTTATTTTATATGCAGTATATTTTGTTAAAGGTGTATTTATAGTTGTTTTATTTAAGATCCATTATGTTTCCATGGTGTTTGTTGGTTATGTTTATATTGATTTTCAGATTGTAAAAATGAAGAAAACAATCCTTTCTATTTCCTAAAAGCTTAAAATCATAAATCGAAAATAAAATATTTTTACTTAAATTCAAAATCTGTTTACAGTTTCATTTTCGAGGAAATAGATGTGAATTTATTTCTGATTGCATTTCATTCCTATTTACAGATTTAAATAGGCTTGTATTAAATTTTGAGACTTCTTATAGGAATTATTGTTGAGAAAAATCAATTAGATGTTTATTTTAAACAGAAATTTCAGATTCTTAGATTTACTTCTGTGATGAAAATAGTTGACCTCCCTACTCATTACCAACATATTAAAAGAGAAATATACAAAACAGTATAAAAAGATCATCTAGATATTGAAGATTTCTGTGTTGTACTTGTTTAGAGACAATATGAGGTATATGACATTTTTTTCTATGTAAACATTTCGTTCTGTAGTGTTGTTAGAAATTCATTTCTTTTGCAAGATAAAACATGGAATGGTCATGAGGATGATGCTTTAGGCTTTTATTTTAAATATAAGTACCTAAGAGTTTGTATTTAAACCAACATAAAGCAGTATAATACATTCATAAATACTATTTGACTAGTATTCTGTCAGAATTACACTTATAATGCATTCTGTGTGAGAGTATGCACAAGTCTTGTGAATAGAGACATATCATTTAAATAATTTATAGATGTTTTGACAGAGTGTGATTTTTATGTGGTGTAAACAGAATTGTATGGTCACAAAGAAATCATGTTTCACAATGCAAATAATATATTACAAGTATATTCTCTTTTCTTATGTTTTATTCTATTGCCATAATCACAATCTACAATGTTGTATTCTTGGTAGTAGTGTTCCTTAGTTGTTTATTTGCTGAAACATTTGAGTGCAATAAAATCTAAAGGAATTTCTATCCTCTCGGTCTTAATGACAATATCATGGGAATTGGTAATATATCTAGAACAGATTCTGTTAACATTTTGGACATAGTTTCTAAAACAGTACGTAAAAGCTAATCTCATGGACGTAGAATAAATCGCAATCAAAGAAAATTTTGTAATAACAATACAAATATTTCGGACCTAATTTCTATTTCAAAAAACAACGGTAGACACTATCTATTAACCAAGCTCTGTTCTTTGCCTGTTAATAAATTACATCAAATTTTGGAGGAATGCCACACAATTCCATATTGCAGTCCTAAGTATGAATTCGTCCAAATTATAATTGCATATTGTTATTCTAAATTGTTTCCCAAAATTGATCGCCCTGAAAATCACAAAAAACATTTTATTAGAATTAAATAAAGGTTTTGATTTTGTAAATATTGCCGGTATTTTTAATAATCATTCTGTTAAAGAACAAATTCCTAGCTATTTTGATAATACTGAACTCCTTCTTATTTGTTATGTTTACAAAAAAACTACCCGGAAATAGGTGTATAATTACAGCGAAGTGTGTAAAGATGTTAATATCAGTGACAATACACCTACCTCATGAAATTTCAGTAAATCCGAATACATTTATGGCCCCAGTTCCCATGTTATAACAGGAGACCTTAACATCGTTCCTGACTGAGAGTTGAAATCATTTCTCAGTAAAGGACCTAAATATCGTCCCCCGTCAATTATTAATTGGAATGAGTGTCGTAACATCATCCACAACTCACTCCGTACTTACTGCTCTAAATGGATAAAACGAGAAAAAGCTGACAAAAAATCATTAGATTCTTTTTTTAATTCGGTAATGAACATAGTTGATATATGTATTCAACATTTTAAAGATCATTTTACTCCTAACAACAACTATAATAGCCCAATTTCCCGTATCAAACATAAGCTAAGAGAACTCGCCAAGGAATATATTTTTGTCCCGGCTGATAAGGCTGCTTACAATACCATTATTGTTTGACGTAAATTTTACATTGATGTTCTACAAAAGGAAATCACGAATTCACCAACATTCCAACTGACTCCATTTTCGGAAAATGACATCTGTAACAAACAAACTTTTAGCTACCTCTTTACAAGCAGAACCAAATACAATGAAAGTTCCAACAATATACTGGCTTCCGAAGCTGCACAAAACTCCTTACAAATAAAGATTTATTTCGTCTTCAAGCCATTGTTCCACTACCAAACTATCGATTCTACTTACTAGTACACTTGGTACAATCAAAAACCTGATAATAAATTGTTCAAATAAGGCCTTTGAAAATAGTGGAAATAATTACTTTTGGAGTGTCAAAAATTCGTTGGAAATACTTGATAAATTGCATGCTTATATTAGTGATTTCGAATCTGTTCAAAGTTTTGATTTTTCTACCCTATATACCACGTTGCCTCATAATCTTATTAAGAAAAAGTTCACACACCTGATTAAATGGGCATTTAAAAAGTCGGAATGTGAATATATATGTTCAAACTCTTTTAGGTCATTTTTTAGTAACAACAAACAAAAGAACTATGTCAATTGGACCTGCTTTGATACTATAACTGCCCTCGAATTTTTACTAGATAACATTTTTGTTTGCTATGGAGATTCTGTATATCGTCAGGTTATCGGAATTCCCATGGGCACTAACTGTGCACCACTTATTGCGGATCTGTTTCTGTTTTGTTATGAGTTACAATTTATGACTAAAATCAGTAAAGACCCATCGAAACAACATCTGATTCAAAAATTTAATAACACTTTTAGATATTTAGATGATATATTGGTTCTCAATCATGACGACTTCAGTATGTACACTAAAGAGATTTATCCTGCCGAACTAACTTTGAATAAAGCTAATACTAACAATGAACACTGCCCTTTCCTGGATCTTGATATATTTATCTTTAACGGGAAGCTTAATACCAAAATTTATGATAAAAGAGATGATTTTTCATTTCCTATTGTTAATTATCCATTTTAAGATGGTGACATTCCCTTGTCGCTATCTTATGGTGTTTATATATCTCAACTTGTTCGATTCGCTCGAGTATGTAACAGAGTATTTGATTTCAATGAAAGAAATCTCTGTATTACTGAAAAATTATTACACCAGGGTTTTCGATATCACAAACTGGTAAAAACATTTACTAAATTTTATCATAAGTACAAGGACATCATTCGTAAATATAAATCAACATGCAGACATCTTATACGTTCAGGTATTTCACATCCAATATTTTATGGTAATCTTTACAAAGCACAAAAATGTCGGCATTCACCTCAAAAGCTAACCAAACCTTTAAACAGACTTATTCGGAAAGGATATAGTTACGATACTGTTGTCAAGTCATTATTGATTGCATATTGTGGTATTAATATTGATTCACTCATAGGGTCTTTGCATCGGAAATTAACACATTTATTCTAAAACCAGTTGTTGGCATGATACGGGTTATGTTCTTCTCATATATTTTATGATGGTATGATACTCCTAACGGGAGGGATTGTACTTGATTTTCATATGGGGAAGTAATAATCTTTCAATCAGTTTAATTGAGGTCTGGAGCTGGCATGCCAGTAACTGCTAGTAGTCCTTTGTTCATTTATGTATCATTGTCATTTTGCTTAGTTTCTTTTGTTACGTATTCTGACATCGGACTCGGACTTCTTTCAAACTGAGTTTTACTGTGCGTATTGCTATGTGTTTCTTTATTCTACATTGGCTAGAGGTATAGGGGGAGGGTTGAGATCTCACAAAACATGTTTAACCCCGCCGCATTTTTATACGACCGCAAAAAAATTTTTGTGGTCGTATATTGGTATGACGTTGGCGTCGTCGTCGTCCGAAGACACATTGGTTTTCGCACTCTAACTTTAGTTTAAGTGAATGGATCTCTATGAAATTTTACCACAAGGTTCAATACCACAAAAGAAAGGTTGGGATTGATTTTGGGGGTTATGGTACCAACAGTAAAGGAATTAGGGGCCAAAAATAAGCATTTTTGTAACTTCCAGACATAACTTGTGTGTTAGTGTATGGATCTCTGTGACATTGTACCACAAGGTTCCATATCACAAAAGGAATGCTGGGATTGATTTTGGGGGTAATTGCCTCAAAATTTTAGGAATTAGGGGCCAAAAAAGGGGCAAAAAACAAGCATTTTTCTAGTTTCATGACAATAACTTGTGTGTAAGTGTATGGATCTTTCTGAAATTGTACTACAAGGTTCCATATCACAAAGGGAAAGCTGGAATTGAGTTTGGGGGTAATTGCCGAAACGTTTAGGAATTAGGGGCCAAAAAGGGGCCAAAAATAAGCATTTTTCTAGTTTCTAGACAATAACTTGTGTTCAAGTGTATGGATCTCTCTGAAATTGTACTGCAAGGTACCATACCACTAAGGGAAGGCTGGGATTGATGATGGGGGTAATTGCCTCAATATTTTAGGAATTAGGGGCCAGAAAGGGGCAAAAAACAAGCATTTTTCTAGTTTCATGACAATAACTTGTGTGTAAGTGTATGGATCTTTCTGAAATTGTACTACAAGGTTCCATATCACAAAGGGAAAGCTGGGTTTGAGTTTGGGGGTAATTGCCCTAATCGTTTAGGAATTTGGGGCCAAAAAAACACATTTTTCTAGTTTCCAGACAATAACTTGTGTTCAAGTTTATGAATCTCTCTGAAATTGTACTGCAAGGTACCATACCACAAAGGGAAGGCTGGGATTGAGTTTGGGGGTGATGAATCATAAGGGGGTTCAAAAAATTTTGGGGGGGGAATTTTTTTTTTTTCCTTTTTTTTTCTTTTAAAATTTTCCATTTTAAGTTGGTTATTTCTGATTTATATTTAAAAGCAAATAATAATGATATGGTAGGAGATACACACTAAACAGGATGTGTAAATTATTATATAATAAGTATTGTGCAATAGCAAGAAATTTTCAATTGCACAGTATTGCACAATAGCAAGAAATCTTCAATTGCACAGTATTGCACAATAGCAAGAAATCTTCAATTGCATAGTATTGCGCAATAGCAAGAAATATCCAATAGCACAATATTGCGCAATAGCAAGAAATTGTCAATTGTACAGTATTGCGCAAAAGCAAAAAATATTTAATTGCACAGTATTGTGCAAAAGAAGATACTTCGTATAAATTGCTTATTTCTTGACCAATTTCAATGGGGTTTTATTCTTGAATTCTTGGGGTTCTTTAATATGCTGAATCTAACCGTGTATTTAGTTTTTGGATTTTGGGCCCCGTTTTTAAATTGGTCCACATTGAGGTCAAAAGGGTCCAAAATTAAACTTTGTTTGATTTCATCAAAAATTGAATTATTGGGGTTCTTTGATATGCCGAATCTAACCGTGAATTTAGATTCTTAATTTTTGGTTCCGTTTTCAAATTGGTCTACATTAAGGTCCAAAGGGTCCAAAATTAAACTTAGTTTGATTTTAACAAAAATTGAATTCTTAGGGTTCTTTGATATGCTGAATCTAAACATGTATTTAGATTTTTGATTATGGGTCCAGTTTTCAAGTTGGTCCAAATCGGGGTCCAAAATTAAACTTTGTTTGATTTCAACAAAAATTGAATATATGGGGTTCTTTGATATGCTGAATCTAACCATGTACTTAGATTTTTGATTTTTGGGCCCCGTTATCAACTTTGTCCACATTGAGGTAAAAAGGGTCCAAAATTAAACTTTGTTTGATTTCATCAAAAATTGAATTCTTGGGGTTCTTTGATATGCTGAATCTAACCATGTATTTAGATTTTGGATATTGGACCATAATAGGTGAATGTCCAATTTAAAAATTTTAAGTTCTTAGACCACATTCATTCTGTGTCAGAAA